TTGCATTTCAATACACAGTGTGCACTCAATCCCAGCCCGGCGGCCCGAAGCCACAGACTGCAGTGCAGTGGCAGGGACCGCAGCAGAGCAGGGCTGGCCGCTCCAGCCGCTCGACCCGTTTTGGCGCCAAGTTCGTCGATCCGACTTCGGTTTCTAGTACCGGGAAGCCGCGCAGCACGGTGGGCCAGAAGACCGGTGGAGGCGGCCAGAGACGCGTTTTGAGCTCCAGAGTCGCTAAATGGGACTCGAACCGAACGACCCCATCAATGGATTCCTCGTGCGGAGAGCGATCCATTAGTGGTCGGTGTTTCCACGCAGAAAAGGGCGGTCAAACTAATAAACCCCGGTAATCGATACATCGAAAGGGCCTATCGAGATCTCGACAAACTCGCCACGCGATTCCAATCGCAGGCCTTATCGGCAGCAACAAGAATGGAACGACCGGGTTCCGACCAGAGAGGTGCCCGGGGCGCGTTCCTGGCGGCGCCGCCCCAGGCAGGCACGTTCCTCCAGCAGGCGAATGTGACCGGCGAGCCGCGCGGCCGCGGGCCTCGCGCGTGCCTCGAACGTACCGCAGTGGGCCAGAAGACCGGTGGAGGCGGCCAAAACTCGAGACGCGTTTTGAGCTCCAGAGTCGCTAAATGGGACTCGAACCGAACGTGTGACCACACCAATGGATTCATCGTTCAAAGAGCAATCCATTGGTGTGGCCACACGTTCGGTTCGAGTCCCATTTAGCGACTCTGGAGCTCAAAACGCGTCTAGAGTTTTGGCCGCCTCCACCGGTCCTCTGGCCCACTGTGCGTACGTACCCGGGTGTAGCTCACAATTAGCGCGGCTATCTACGGCCGAGCTCAAAAACACAGCCAGCCCGCCAGGCCCAGCGCATGCCATTCGCACGGTGGATCCGCCAGAAGACCGATGGAGGCGGTCCAAGTTCCGGACGCGTTTTGAGCTCCAGAGTCGCTAAATGGGACTCGAACTGAACGTGTGACCCCACCAATGGATAGCTCTCCGAACGAGGAACGTACTTTACGAGGGAGTGCGCAACTTTTCTGCAACAGGTGGACAGACGCCAGCTCCAGCGGCTCCAGCGGCTCCAGCGCACCCCCACTGGAACCCGTTGTCGCTCTGTCTCTCTCGCACTCCAAGGGGCCACCCCACGAATGCCAGCTCACGTGACCTTGAGTCCCTGTCCCCATGGCAACGATCATCGTGCGGTCAGCCTCGCCCCGCCACGCCCCGCCCCGCCCCGCCACGCCACTGTCCAGCCGGTCCGGCCCCACAGTGCCCCGCAGTGCCCCGCAGTTCTCGGGAGTTCGGAATCGCCCTGCCCTCGGCCCGCAGCTCCCACCGTGGCTCTCGCGGTTTCAATCAGTTCGGCCAAAACTCGAGACGCGTTTTGAGCTCCAGAGTCGCTAAATGGGACTCGAACCGAACGTGTGACCCCACCAATGGATTTCTCGTTCGGAGAGCAATCCATTAGTGGGGTCACACGTTCGGCTCGAGTCCCATTCAGCGACTCTGGAGCTCAAAACGCGTCCGGGATTTCGACCGCCGTCACCGGCCTTCTGGCCCACTGCGTTCACGTTGAGCAAAAAAGTGATTCGCTTTTTGTTTTGTTCGAGGAAGGGAGCAGACTGCATGCAAGACTGCAGTCCGAACGGCAGTCCGCCCTGCTCAGTCGGTCCGGCAAATTGATGCAGGCAACGGGGCAGCGGCGGCCTGGGCACAGCCTGGGCACAGCGAACCTCGACGGCAGTAAACTTTTATCTGCCGGGCATCTGTTACAAGTCGTTTACAGTGCCCCCGAAACCCGGGCGAGATTGTTCGGCTCCTTGGTTCCGGTGTGGGCCCCGCAGTGCCATGGGAAGGGCCGTTTAGCCGCTACACTGGCCGGTAATGCCATGCACAGTGGGCCAGAAGACCGGCAGAGGCGGCCAAAGACGCGTTTTGAACTCCAGAGTCGCTAAATGGGACTCGAAACAAACGTGTGACCCCACCAATGGACTGCTCTCCGAACGAGGAATCCATTGGTGGGGTCACACGTTCGGTTCGAGTCCCATTCAGCGACTCTGGAGCTGAAAACGCGTCTTTGGCCGCCTCCATCGGTCCTCTGGCCCACTGTGGCGTGCCACTCGGCCCAAATAAGCACGCCCCCAGCGGCCCGGCCCGTTAGAAGGCTTTGTTTAAGACACACTGGTTGGCATAATGAGGGGCTGCAGTGGCACGGCATTGCACGGCATGCTGATTAAGAGACTCCGTTAGAGCTCTAGCGGTGCGGGAGGTGTGAAGCGGACCACGTATTTAACGGTGGCGTTGCAGCGAGCCAACGCTTCGGAAAAGATTGGCCAGAGCGTGCGATGCAGTTCTGCGAAGCGTGCTAGTACGATTTTTTTTTGTTTTGCCTTGCAGTTTTTACATGCGACACCGTGAGAGAACCTACCCCAACCGCACGCAGCGCGACGCAGCGTCCGTCCTCATGGCCACGGCCACACGCTGCCTTTGCGTGGCACACCCACCGGCAAAAAGGAGAGGCGTGGGTATTCGAACACGCCTCCGACCACCCCGACCGCACCCTGACCGGACTACAACGAAACCGTTGAGGGGCAGACCGCGGGCGGCTTCGGGCTTCGGGGACCAGTTTGGAAGGTCGACGGGGTGGTGCCCGAAAGGGCGTGGCCGTGTGTGTGTGTGTGTGTGTGTGTGTGTGTGTGTGTGTGTGTGTGTGTGTGAATGCGCACGCGGCCGCCAACCTCGCGCGATCGCCGAAAAAAAAAAGTCACCCCGCGACAAGATCGCGCTCCAGTTTCGCTCCTTTTTTACGGTGCAGCCAACAACAAGTGGGTGGCCGTCCGCCAGCGATCAGCGGCGTGGGTCGCGGCGCGGGTGGCCTACCTCCCGGGCGCACGCGGCCAAAACGCGTTTCGAGCTCCAGAGTCGCTAAACAGGGCTCGAACCGAACGTGTGACCCCACCAATGGACTCCTCGTTCGGAGAGCAATCCATTGGTGGGGTCACACGTTCGGTTCGAGTCCCATTCAGCGACTCTGGAGCTCGAAACGCGTCCGGGGATTTCGACCGCGTCACTCATTAAACATCGGCCGCAGTGTCGATGACGGCGAGCGAGTAACTCGGTCATCCGGCCAGCTGGGCCCGGCTCGGCCGGACCGGGTGGACCGGGAAGGGGGTCCCCAGGGACCGCCAGGGACCCAGGGCGGTGCTGCGGTGCTGCCCAGGGCGGTGGCGGCGGGGCGGCTGCCAGTGTGCCAGGCCTCGGTCATGCTGACCACCGGCCCAGACCAGTTACTCAACATGCGCAGACCCGGCGCCCGGCTTCGGCTTCGGCCAGGCTTCGGCTCGTGTTCGGTGGCCGTTCGGGTCCACGAGAGGGTGAGCGAGAGAGAGAGGAAGCCACACAGCACATGTCGAAGGCAGGCTTTGGGCACCTGTCCTGCTGTGGGCAGTGGAGCAGCGTGCCACCACTCCCCGCGACAGACACTTTCGCTGCGAAGGGAATGTTGGCCATGCTGGCCATGCCGGCCACTGCTTTGCACTGCTTTGCTGACCTTTGCGACTGACCCATCGTCCTTTCGCTCATTACATCCAAGTGCGTGCTGTCGGGCTGTCAGTGCACCGTCAAAGCGGCCGTCAAAGCGGCCAGCGGATTATGACAACACCCCGGGCTTTTTTCCACTCCAGCCTGCTTTTTTTGCAGTGCTCTTTCTCAACGAGTGGCGATCGGGAGCGTCCCCGCGACGCATCGCGCCTCGCGTGGCCTAGCACGGTCTAGCCTGGCCTAGCAGATCGTCTTCTGCCGGACGAACTGGACCAGTCGCTGACGAAACAGCCCGCAGGACTCCGACGGAGCGGAGCCGAGCCGAGCCCCGACCACGTCACGACGCCGGCTAGGTTGGGTCCGAGACTGGCTGCCGAAACTAATCTAATGGAGGACCTAAACGACACGAGGAGAGAAGTTAAGGGTACACTCACCCGGTGGACAAATGCGTGCGGAAGCTGCACTGGCCGTGTCTGTCTGTCTGTCTGTCTGTCTGTATGTCTGTCTGTCTGTCTGTCTGTCTGTCTGTCTGTCTGTCTGTCTGTCTGTCTGTCTGTCTGTGTGTCTGTCTGCAGAGTCTATCCTTCCCCGTAACGTGAGTGACGACTAATCACATGCATTTGCTACCAAAGCTAGGGGAATGTGGAGTAAAACCAGTCCGGCCTCCGTCACTATGGCAACAGCTGCGTAGAGAGACACACTGGCACACAGACAGACAGACAGACAGACATACAGACAGACAGACCGACAGACAGACAGACAGAAAAACGAATGCAGAGCGGGTCGGATAAATCCCCTGCAAATTGCTGGCTGCCGACACGAAAGAGAGCCGGCAGCTTGATTCCCGCCTTAACACCGACTCGTGCGTTCAAGTCCCCAGCGCCCGACCCGACCAACGGGCAGACAGTCAGACAGACCGACAGGCGAACAGACAAACAAAGAGACAGTCAAACCAACAATGCGGCTTTCTTCCACGTTTTGCTTTGCTTTTTTGCCTCGCTTTGCTCGGCCCCTCGTAGCGGCAAAAGCGTCCACCAGCCCACGCCCGAACCGGCCGACTGCACTGACCACGCGCAGTGGATTTGCCAGAAGGCCGGTGGGGGCGGCCGAAACTGGACGCGTTTTGAGCTCCAGAGTCGCTAAAATGGGACTCGAACCGAACGTGTGGCCCCACCAATGGGTTGCTCTCCGAACGAGGAATCCATTGGTGGGGTCACACGTTCGGTTCGAGACCCTTTTTCTTGCACTTAATTTGAAGGACTCGAGCAGCAGGCACTGGAAGGTGGCCGAGACCGAGGTTCGATCCTGGGCTTCCCTCTCAAGTCCAGGCTGGCTGACCCACACCAGAATCGCCCACTGCCAGTGCGGTGTCGGCAGAAAGACACGGGTGGGATTTTCCACGAAAGAGAACCACGCTCCCTCCGAAACAGCCAACAGCTTACTCTTTGCCGGGGCGATGGGGGTTGCGTCCGCGACGCGACGAAGCCGAGGTCGTTTCAGGTATCCTTGTCAAATCACGCCGATGCACCCATCACTTGGACACACACTGTGTGACACACTGCACAATCACTGGTCGCGGCGCTCAACGACCGCCGCGGAGGGCGTACGACGGCGTGCTCTGAGGACGGCGAAGGCGCATGGCGGCAGCCTGCGGCAGCCCGGTTGGCTGTTGGAGCGCCCTGCGAGCCCTGCGCCGGCGGGTCGGCGGGTGGGACGGCGGGCTGGACCGGGGCCTGCTTGGCGGTGGCGAGCGCGGCGCGCGGAACGGGTCTGGACGTCTGGACGGTGTGGACCCCACGACAGGCCCGCAGCGCACCGCAGCACCGCGCTGGAGGGTCCGAGCTCGCCGCCAGCACACCGCCAGACACCGCGCGGGGCCTAACTTTGGCGGGGCGGCGGCACCAGGGAGGCACCCCCACCCCGGCAAGGCTCGCTGGCTCCGGCTGTAGCCCCGCGCGCCACCGCCGCGAGGGTGGGGGCGGTGGGGGGGCGCCAGCCAACCGCGGGGCCGCGGAGCCGCGGAGCCGCCTTGCGCACGGTACTTCCCTGAGTCGGGGCCGGGGACCGCCGGGTGTGCACAAAGCACGTAACGCTGGGTGTGCATACCACGAAACGCCGCACAGTGGGCCAGAAGGCCAGTGGATGCGCCCCAAAACTCTAGACGCGTTTTGAGCTCCAGAGTAGTCGCTAAATGGGACTCGAACCGAACGCGTGACCCCACCAATGGATTGCTCTTCAAACGAGGAATCCATTGGTGGGGTCACACGTTCGATTCGAGCCCTGTTTAGCGACTCTGGAGCTCAATCCGCGTGTAGAATTTTGGCCGCCTGCGCCGGTCTTCTGTGCGCTGGGTGTGCACGAACCACGGCTCACTCTTTAGCCCTGCAGCCGGGCGCCGGGAGTCAGGCAACCCATCGCACTCGCCCTCGTCAGCGGCCGATGAGCGATGCCGTGGCGCCATCTAGCGGTGAGGCGGCGGACTGCTTCGGCCGGTGGAACCGCGCGAACGGAAAGGATGGGTCTGCTGTTTCAAGAAGGAGCAAGTGGTTCGTACACATTACATCTAATCTTTCTGCCCAAATGTTGACGACTATCCCTCAGACGTCGAGCTAATTATCTCCTTCGGCGATACGCATTCTGCTCCCGGTCTGGAGAAAGTGAATCATGTGGAGCAACCATGCAGACTGACTCCGATCAACAAGTGGGGCTAGGTTATGAGGGTCCATCGGTATTTGTTTTTTTTTCTGTTCCAGGTGAAGATATCTATTGGATGTGTGTAAAATGTGTGAAGCAGGAGTGATCAACAAGGCCCAGCATGGTAAGACCAAAATGGTAAGCTACCGTGATCCTCGCATGTATTTTTTTTCAGTATTAGTATTTTGGCTCCTCTCCTTTCTCCTCTTTAGCTAAGTTTTTTTTCTGTAATTGTGTTCTGAATAGGATGCTGAGGAATCAAATCCCTTAAAGGCTCAGGTCATCAAATACGAAAAACAGTTGAGAGAAGATGCCAAAACAATGCACCGCATTATGCAGGAGCTTATGGAACGCAGCTCCTCACTGCTCGTCGATCGTGAAGACCTTGACATGGTAAGTTCCATTATTTTGTTTCACTGCTCCCATGTTGCTCCAATCCAACTACATTCCAAGAAATAAACCCCAATTTTATCATGTTTGTGTATAAAAACATTGTGCCACCAGGATCCGGCAGAATGTGCTCAAGTAGTCGCTGAGATTGATGAACTGGACAAGAAGAGAAGAGAAATAGACATGAGGACAGACCGCATTACGAACAAAATACTTGCTCTTTTAATTTCCGTTTCAAAAGATAAAAGAAAAGTAAGCTATATCAACGCTTGAGTTTCTTTTTCTCTTTTTGCTTGGTTTTGGCGGTAGTTCCCTGGTAGCACCTGCTTGTTTCTCAACTGTTTTATTTCTTGTTTCTTTGAACAGGATGATGCAGAATTTTTGGAATTAGTAGATCAGTTTGCGAAAATTTCTGAGCAGCAGAGAGAAGAAAACCAAGTTATGGACCACTTTATGCAAGAAATGTCAGCTCACTGTTGCTCACATTTGGCCTTAGTTTTTGAGTTTTTACTTGAAGAATAGTGATAAGACAATGATGGAAACATGGAATGTCAGCATCTTCTCATCATTGTGTGGATATGACCACTTCAATTTGAACGATATGACTCGTTACCATAAATGTTTAATTGCAACTGCAAAGACTGATTTCTTTATGTTTGTTAATGTGGATTTGTATTTAGTTTTAATGTGAATGCGTGTATTGTCCGACATGCATTGTTTGTACCTTAGCTGCTCCAGGCCTCAATTCAAGGGGAGCCAATGTATATTATTGTAATGGAGGAAGTCAAAATATCATTTTACAATTGTTTTTATTGTGGTGTGAACTTTGTTCAAATTGTAAGTATTTTTAATGTGAATGGACAAATAATGACGTTAAAATTGTAAAACATGATTGTTTCCGAATTTATGAACCCCATTCACCACAGATAAAAAATTTGAAGAATTGTCAAAGTTGCGCGCTCCGGCGGCGAGGGGCAGGCTGGGCGGGCCACTGACCAATGGGGTGGGAAGCCCGGGACTTCCCTCCGTGTGCTGCAAGCCACCAATGACTCTTGGCCCTCGGAGGCACGGCAAATGACATCCCAAGTTGCAAGTAGGCAAAGAGGTGTGCCGTCCTTCGACAGCGAATACCTCTGGGTGGAGCGCCTAGACGTAGGCAACCCATCGTACTCGGTCAAAGGCACGTCGGATGGGTTGCCTATCTTCAGGCGCCCGCCAGGTCCCACCAGCGACAGGAATCCATGAGTTGCATCGCGATGATATGATCTTTTTGTTTTCGTCGGAGGGCTCCCGAAGGTAAGCTGATCTTGACAAGTATCTAGGTGGCGAAATTGACATCTCGTAAACGTGCTTGGGGGTGGGAGTGGAGTAGGTAGTGGGCGGAGCAGCGAAGGCACGGCACGGCGCACCATAGCGCACGCGCACGGTGCCGGCGGCGAGGCGGGGGGAAGGGGAGAGAGGAGGGGAGAGGAGAGGAGAGAACCAAAACAGAACAGAAATCGGTTTTCTTTCTGTTGCTGAGCAGGTGGCAGTCAATCACTACACCGTTTTCCTGGTGCTGAAAGTTTCCCTCGGTCAACGGTCGTCACTCATTGGATTACAAACATTCTGTTCCTGAACGTGGACGTGCAAACCGACGACTCGGGAGTATTTTACGAAGACTAGGTATGTTTCAGCATGCTGGCCTAGGTTATGATTCTGCGTACATCTCTATTGATTGTTGGTTCGCATTGTTGCAGTGGTTGTTTGGGGGCGCCTGCTGTCTATGTGTGAGTACGTGATGTCGCTTTCGACCGCCTGAACAGGAAATATCTCATCCAAAGCCGACCGCTGTACCATGGACCACCAGGAGGGCACAGAAATGGTAAATTCACATCAATAATCCTTGTGATATTCTGTGCCAATACTTTCTGATATGCATGCAGAATGTAGTGGAGTTCAACACTGGTAATTGTAGCCTAAGTCCATAACTCAGTTTTCTGTCGTATTTTACTCTTTTCAGGAGGATGCAAAGTCTGCGAGGATAAGGGCTGAAATTTTGAATTGTGTGAATGAGCTTGAGCAAGGAATCACAAGGATTGACAGCATTTTTAGGCGGCTTACAGACCACTGTTCATCTCTCTTTGACCCTCAAGAAAACTTAACAATGGTAATTAAACATTAAAAAATAACTATCCAGTATTAGTATTTACATCCAATGGTCATGCTGCCACTACACCTGTGCTATCTTAGGGTGTTTTTGACATTTATGTTCTCTGTACAGGACTCGGCAGAATCTGCTCGACTTGTAGCTGAGATTGATTTTCTTAATGAGGAACGGCGAGAAGAATTTGTGAGGGTAACCTGCATCATACAGCACTGTTCTTCATTGTACGCCGAGATGAGAGACACAGAGAAGGTAATTTGCCAGGGTGAGCCCTAATAACACCTGACCCTCCAACAGTGTTTCTTAGTAATGTCTCTTCTGGTTTGTTCCAGTTTGAACAGCATGCTGAAGTCTATGCCAAGGGGATTGCTGGCCTGGATCATGTTAGCAGAAAGCAGAAGGAGGCAGTGAAGAGGCTGGAGTATGTAATGAAGCAAGTCACCGATTACTGCAAGTTACGCTTTACTTCCCTTTTTGACATGGTGTTTGAAGAATAAGCCATCACAGCCACAATAGCTATGATGTGTCGCTTTTTCTTCTTTTTCAAATGCTCAGTTTACTGCCAAGACTACTTTCCTTTTCTGTGTGCGTGTGCCTGCACATAATAATTATTTAACTGTGTCATCCCTGTGGTACTCAGTCTTACTAGTCTTTAAATAATTTAAAGTTTACTTTAAAATTTATATTATTGGCAGCCAAATAACGAATTAAGTGATGACGTGGGGCCCCTGTTGTGTTCTTTGTGTGCACTAGGTTCTAATTATTTACGTGAAATGGCAAACATTTCAAATAGGAGAAAATGAGTGAGAAGAGAAGCCCATTTCTGATTATTATTATTTCCATATGAATGCACAGTTGCAGTGGCAAAGACTGATTTTTTTTTAAGTTGATTCTTTTTAAATCTGTAAATGCATAGATTTGTATTGTCTTCTAGTGTGTGTGATGTTGTTTGTGCTGAGCCACTTATGGTCTGGGCCTCCATGCAGTGGCAGCATACATTCAGGTAATGAATAAAGTTCATTTTGATGTTGATAAAATAGTGTGCTCATTTTTCCAATTGACTTTCTGAGGGTAGGGTGAGTTAAGAGAATCACATTAGAAAACAAGATGATATATTAATCTGCGGCTTGGTTAAGAGCAATTAAAACAAAAAAAAATACAAGTTGATGATACTCCATGAACACAAGGACAACCATGAACAAACTGATTTTTTTCAATAATTATTCATGTCTAATACAAATTCACCACAATCTCTTAAGAGAGCTTAAAATTTATCTTTACATAATACTTCAACTGCATGATGTGCAAGACAAGCCAGGAAAATGTAGACAGGAGAAAATATGCCACAGCTTTCTCTTATTACAGTTGTCTGAGAAAAATGTGTAGTATTCATTATGATTTACAAACATACCTTCAACAGGCATCGAGAACCGCCACAAAGCAAAGATAGATTTCAGTCAGGTACTTAACTGCTGGGCAACTTAATTTTGAAAAATCCTATTGCCCCAAACCAAATTAGCATTCAGGATGCAATGGAAAGCACAACAAAGCTCTGCTATTTGAACATCTTGATCCCCAACCTTCATCTAGGAAAATGTTATGCACTAAACGGTTGATCTGTCATATTTTCAGTACACTATACCCTGCAATCTAAAAGTTTACACACTCTTCACAGCCATTAATATGTTTCTAAATTTCAAAACACTTAAAATGGAAATTGTTCTCATAAAACAGCCTTTAGTTGAAAAAAATATACATCAAGCTTGAAATCAATCAGTTCAACACATGAAGTGAACTCTTTCTTTCCAACTCTTCACGGTGGGTATTTACAGTTTCTTTGGTTTATAGTTTTATTTACTAATAATTGGCATTTTTAGTCTCAGACTCAACTTAGTATTACACTGGTCTGAAGTTAATATAAAAGTCTCCACAGTAGGATGCATTTTAAAATTTTGAATCCTTGGAGGGTCTGAGAATGCTCCAGGATAGACCCTCACATGGGAAGCATTTGCAAATTAAATAATTAAACATAAAACCAATACTATAGAATTTACAATAACTTCAATCACATAACTTACTAAATATTTAAAAAATAAATAACTACAAATAAGGCAAGTGAAAAAAAAAGGAATGCAATAACAACTTTTTTTTCTTCTTTTTGTCTCTTTTCTCTTGGCAAAAGCATTTGCATTCATAAATAATCTTCCATTGCAATATCTAAAGATCAGTCAGTCGTTTTTTTTTTCTAAATAAAGGCAAGAACACACATACTTATGTACTTCTAAGGTACAAATGTCAGTGTTCATCTAACATGGTCAGCTATGTAACTCATAACTACACAGGGATGTCACGGCCCACGTGGTTAAAAGCAGTGATTGCTACCATGAAGTTGCCCGATCAAAGTAACTTTGAACAAGATTATTCACACATCACATATGATATATCCTGAGTCATTTAAGGGAGTTTCCTTGGTGGAAGGCGAGTGGTTCTTGATGCTAACTGTTCAGACTCTGGACGTGAAGAGAACCCATGCCGTACAGGAAAATCTGCTTTGGTTGGCAAGTCAGTATGAGTTGTGGATCCCCTTATCCACTCACTCTCAGGATCAGAGAAAACAGCGCTGGAGAAGTGGCGGTCTGCGTCGTCTTCTTCAGTTGAACTAACACTGCTGTCTCCGTCATAACCATCTAAATCTGGAAATGGAAAATCCCAAAATTACTGAAAAGTAATTATGATACAAAACACAACCTAAGAGACCAAAAGCTTTGAGAAAATTTGTTTCAAGAAATGAATTTATCCACCACCAATTTGTACAACAGACATTAAAAAATGTGTCATACTTGCCATTCATTTGCAGCCATAATTTTGATCATGAATGTACACACCTTCCTCTGCCATAGATGGTTGTGCTGACATCCAGGACCCAGTAATAGCTTCGTCCCAGTCGTCATCATATTGAAGCTGCGTATTCAACATCTTCTCCTCAGAGTTCAGAAGGACACTTGAATCAGCATCAGTGACATCAAATATTTCAGTCACTTTAACCTGTGGACCAATTCAGACAAATTTTATGATTTTCATCTAAAAATTTTACTTTATTGGATATTATTAGTCAGCTTCATCTTTCAGAACCATACCTTGTTATTTTCATCCATATAATAATATGCCATGATAGCCTCATGCTGGGCAGTTACTTGAAGAATGTGCTCAAATGTATCATCATCAACATTAGAAGTCTCAGCTCGACTGACTGAGAAACTACCATGTCGTGATAAAATTTTGTTAGAAGAGAATCTCCTTGATGGACCCTTTGTCTCTCCACTGAAACAAGTACATATTATAAATAAATGAAAAATGTTTTAATACAGCTTTTTTGGAGGAGTTCATGCAGGGGGACTTTTTTGAACTCTGCTCACTTTTCATCAAGGTTTAGGGTGAAGTTGAAGTTCATTTTGTTCTTCACAGGCACAGAGTCGCATTCATCTTCTTCTGGGTCACAAATTCCACCGTATTCAGTGATGGCTAGCTGGCAAGTGATCTGGGCACTCATTTCTCTGCGGTCTTTGTTCATTCGCTTGAGGAGCCGTGACACTTCGTCCATGATGAACTTGCTCATCAAGTAGAGGTTGTTACCCATACGTGGAGCTAGAGCGATCAACCTGAAAAGAACAATTACATTAAAACAAGTTCCATAAGACCACATAAAAGGAAACAGTAACGCATCCCACACTAGACAAAACTGTACCAATTTACATAAGGACATTGAAAGTATGAATAGATAAGGGCAAGAAGAATAAGTTCAATGCAAAGAAAGTGGAAGCTAATTATAATAAGAGGTTCTAATCACCAGACAAACAAACATGTAGGTACAAACAAACACAAAACAACACACTTCGTAATCATGCAATTCGGTAGGTTTTTGCTTTGAGAAACCAAGAACCCAGAACAGTTACCAGATAGATACTTCAGATAAAGAAGAAGAAATAGAATGACAAGTACACAACACTCACTTCGTAAAGGTGGCATACATGAGGTCTGCAGGCAGAATGTAGGGGAGACTGAGGACAGAGAGGAGCTTCATGCCACGGTGTTTGAAAACCCAGTTCATAAGACCCTTGTTGGCAGAATCAATGGCGTCTTGGAAAATACTCAGCACTGTGTCAGGCAAATTTGCTACTGCAGCTTCTTGGCGGTGCACTTTGCACTCTTGGCACTGTGGATCGTATTCAAGGCTTTCATCAAGAGTGTCTTGAACAACAAATGTTGATTGAACAGCAAGACAACGAGTACAATTGATCAAGTTATTGCGGTTTAAAAATCGGAGTGCATCATCAAAGCCTTGTTTACACATGTTTGATAGCACCTAAAATGAAAGAGAAAGAAAAAATTAAATTTGCGTTAGTTTACACCTTATGAAGGATAAAGTTTTGAATGTTATAGTCTCATTAAGCAATACCTCTGGTTTGGGTGGAAACAAAATTCTAGTGAATCTATAGATATTTTGTCTTGATAGCTCAATGCTAGTATTAGCTACGTTGATCTAAAAATGAAAGGAGGAAAAAATACATTATCAGCTCACTCATTTAAAGCCTTTCTGTAAACACCTGAGAATGAAAGAAAAAAATGAATACTCACATGAAATAGTTGCAAAGACAAGTCTCTAGGACAAATATCACTTTCCCCACAGAAAGGACTGACTGTGATGGTATTCTCGTCAAGCGTTGGCAAGTTGTCACTAAATCCACCATCCATGTAGCGAATACCATGGAATTTGGGGGGCAGGAATCCGGAGAAAATTGGAACAAAAGCACTTGCCATCAAGGCCTGCAGACAAAAGAGACATTCCGTTCAGGTAAGCGAGAAATACTAACTACACAATTAGAAGCAGAAATCCGACGTAAATTTACCTGGAGGAGGTCCTCTTTGCTGTTGAAGTGAGACACAATGACGTTCTTGCCGTCATAGACTCTTGTGAGAGAAATGTGCAGCTTGCCGCTGACACGAATGTGGGCATCCTCAGGCAAGTACTGTGAAAGCAAAAGTACGATTATAAGACACTGAGAAGATGACGGCAAGAGCACGACAAAAGAGGCAGTGACAGGCAAGTTCACCTTCTCGAGTCCCTGCAGCAGGATGTCCTGCACACTGAAGGACGGGCTGAAGGGTCCAAGGGTCCTGCATCGCGCCTCACGGACGATGTGAAGCATGTCGGAGGTGATTTCACCTGCAACACAATGCCAATGGCCGTTAGACGAGAAATTGGGGCGTATTGGGGTGTTTCAAATGGCCATTTTGGGAGCAAAGGAAAAAGGAGAGATGGAGGCAAATCAGACTGGCAGGTACACTCTAAGGAGCAGACGGAGGGTCGAGGATCAACAGTGCGCTATCTCGGTGCAGCACGGTCAAGGTGGCCGGAAGGGTGGGGGGGGGGGGGGGGGGGCAACGACACAGACTGCGACAGTCTCAACACGAGGCAAAGCGAGAGGGAAGGCCCTACTCGGGGCGGCAACCACACTGACTGTCACAAGTCGTTACTTGTTCCTTCGAGTGTACACACGAAAGCTGCGAACGCACACACCTGGGCCGCCATGCGTCACACGGGCGGCAATCAGACTGTCGGTCCGTGGGGGGGATTAAGGTTCAAGACGAAAAGGACTGCGGCAGGCGGGCCTGGCGCGCCTTGGCGGGCCTTGGCGACAGGGGGGGTGTACGACCAGCAACAAGTGGGTGCGCAAGGGCAGCTCGGAGTACATTCGCTCCGGACTTCAGGCTTCTCCTCGTTCCACTCGAAAGCCATCTCTGTTCAATGTGCATTCGCCGAGGGGGGCTTGCACAGTGGGCCAGAGGACGACCGGTGGAGGCGGTTCGAATCCCAGTCGCGTTTTGAGCTCCAGAGTCGCTAAATGGGCCTCGAACCGAACGTGTGACCCCACCAATGCACTGCAAGGTGACTCCTGAGGCCAAAGCCGAGGGACAGGCGACGCGGCCAGCGGTCGGCCCGCCTAAAGTAGCCTAGACGACTAGGCGAGCCTCCTGCATCCTAGACGAGCCTAGGCGAGCCCCCTAGAGCGACCGCATCAGGCCACCGAGCCTGATAGAGAAATGGGTCAGTCGCCGACACGCGCTGTGGCTCTCTAGCCGCGACGGGCCCTGACCAAACGTTACGTAATACGCGAAGGACAGGCCGTCCACTTATCCCCAAATGCACAACTCTCGAGCTTTTTTGAGCCCGGTTCGAGTCCCATTTAGCGACTCCGGAGCTCAAAACGCGTCTAGAGTTTTGGCCGCCTCCGCCGGTCTTCTGGCAAATCCACTACGCAGGGGTCCGCGCCTTGGGTCCACGTCCGCCAAGTTGAGCACGTGCAGCACGGGGTGACGCATCACCCGAGTGGAGGCATCGAGATGATTACAGTGCCTCAGCGTTGGGCCCGCGAGAGACACGAGAGAGACAGCGCGAGCCAGGCTGCAGGACGGCGGTAACGTTGTAGCAATGCCTGCCTTATCGTTTCGGTATCTCTCAAGAATGTTACGCCCGTTTCGCAACCGTTATGTTTTCGCTTCCGCCTGAGTGACAGGGAGTCGCCGACTTGGAATTCCAATCCCGGAGGCGTGTCTCGAGAAAGACCGTCGAAATCCGCAGGGATCGAATTCGAAAGCCGAGGAGTCACTCGAATGTGAGACGGTTCTAACGCCCTTTGGGAGTCTGTGGCGGCGGCACACTGTGCGGCCAGGTCAGTGAACGGCCGGGCAGCCCTGGCCGGCCGGGCACTATCACGCGGTACTTTATCAACCAGTGCCGTGCCGCTGTGCGTTCCCATGCCGTGGAGCGCAGTGCCACGCAGTGCCACGCAGTGCCATGCCATCGGCAGGCGCGCGGTGGATGCTGCAGGCTGGGGCCAAAGACCCTCCACCTGCGCTATCTATCTATCTATCTACCTACGCACAGTGGAGTGGATTTGCCAGGCGGCATCTCAAACGCGTTTTGAGCTCCATAGTCGCTAAATGGGACTCGAACCGAACGTGTGACCCCACCAACGGATTGCTCTCCGAACGAGGAATCCATTGGTGGGGTCACACGTTCGGTTCGAGTCCCGTTTAGCGACTCTGGAGGTGTGTATACACTGCTAGTACAGTCAGGTGCACCAACCGGTCACCCCGTGCGGTATACAACACAAAAGAAGAGACCGGCGAGAAGCAAAGGCAAAAACCTGGGTATTTGAACCAGCGAACCCGTACCCACGACAACGTCGCGGCGCACTTCCGACGCTGAGTCAAAAGCCTCCTCCCCCTCCCCTCCTCCCGCGCACGGGGGGTCCGGGGGCCCAGCTTATCGAGGAACAAAACAATCGCCTTATCACTTTACTTTCACATCGCTGCGACAACTAACGCCGCCAAGAGTACACGCACAAAATTACTTTCTTCCTTTCCTCTTTTGAAAAGCTCGGCCGCGCCGCGCGCCTGCCGTGCGTGTGCGCGAGGGAGAGGGAGGGGTGGGGGCGGTCGCGCGCTGGTTGGTCGACGCTGGCTCAGCCGATTCGCATTCGAAGGCAAAGCTCAGCGCGCTCTATCTGCGCGTGGTGGGCGCTAATGGAACTACTCCAGAGGTCCGTGGCGACTAACCCCAACACAATTTTCACTTTCTTATTTCGCTTTGTCACTTTAAAATCACTCTCCAGTACAAATATCTAAGTCACCGGTATTGTGAAAATGCCTTTCACTTAACCCAGTTTTAGGCTCTTTGCGTTTTTTGACGCTTTCAAGTCTAGAGGTCCCATGGTGACGTCACAGCCGACGGTGCCGCGCTCTGACGCCTTCGAATGCGAATCGTCACCTCACGCGCCTCTCTCTCTCTCTCCCTCACGCTGTCCCCCACCGGTCCTTTGATTTAACCTACTTCGCGCTGCTGCTGCACTGGGGCTAGTGCGAGGGCGGCTAGCGCTTTCGTCGCTCTGTCTCTCTCGCACCCACGGGGCACACGGCGCGGACCGCAGGGGTGCGAGAGAGACAGAGCGGCACACAGTGGGCCAGAAGACCGGTGGAGGCGGCCGAAACTCTAGCCGCGTTTTGAGCTCCAGAGTCGCTAAATAGGACTCGAACCGAACGTGTGACCCCACCAATGGATTGCTCTCCGAACGATGGTGGGGTCACACGTTTAGTTAGAGTCCCATTTAGCGACTCTGGAGCTCAAAACGCGTCCAGAGTTTTGGCCGCCCCCACGGGTCTTCTGGCCCACTGTGCGGCATGCGTGTCAAGGCCGCCGAGGACGCCGATCGGGCCAACTCGAAACAGAAATATACCGCCGTTCTGACGTTACTGACGCAGGCGGCGAGATGCGCCGGGGCTGAGGGGTCGGCGGCGGTCGGCGGGGCCCCGCGGGGGGTCAGGGAAGACCCAGGAAGGGGCGACGAAAACAAGCGGACTCTCTTCCTCGTCGCTCTGTCTCCCTCGCACCCAACAACGCCCCGCGAGTGCGAGAGAGACAGAGCGACGACTCTGCCGCGGCAATCCGTGTCAATTCCCCAACGGATAGCCCCGCGAACGCACTCGGTCACCCCACCCAAAGAGCAAAAAGAGAGACGAAACACTCTTGCTTTGACGAGTCTTTGCCGACGGGCGTACACTGGTACACAACTCGCCTTTGAGTGCCGCGGGCTGCCAGCACACACCAATGAGGAATGCGTGCATCGATACCTTATCACCACACACACACACACAAATCAAAACGCCGCGCAGCCGCACCGCGCAACGAGGACTCTAGTGCGCCCGCTAGCGGAGGCAATGATGCAGCCAGCCGCACAAAGCTTGAACAAACAAAAAGAAAATCGAAAAATTCAATTTTTTTTACAGTTATTTTGAGTAACAAGTTCCAGTTTAATCCTGTTCTAATTTTTTTCTTGGCACGCATTGAAAGGCCGACATAAGGCACGGTTCGGAAGACAGTGAAGTCAGTGCATAAATTTCACGACGCGTCTCTCTGTCTCTCTCTCTCCCCGCGGGGCTGCCTGACAGGCTGACCCCGACAGTCGCTATCTCTCTCTTTCCGCGCGTTAATGGGCGCACGCTCCCAACCAGCTGACACTATCAGTGTATCGGCCAATCAGGGGCGACATACATCGTGACATTGTCCCGACAGGGTCACTTGCGAGGGAGGAGAGCAGCCTAATTGGTGCAGCTTGCGCAGCGCCTCGCTCTGTCTCTCTCGCACCTCAACGTGTGACCCCACCAACGGATTGCTCTCCGAACGAGGAATCCATTGGTGGGGTCACACGCTCGGTTCGAGTCCTGCTTAGCGACTCTGGAGCTCAAAACGCGTCCTTGGCCGCCTCCACCGGTCTTCTGGCAAATCCACAGTGCAGGGCCTGGTTCGTTTCCACGGCGGTCCCTATTGATACAGCAGCCGCTCTTTTATTCCGACTTGGCAAACACGGGACGCAAGTCAAACACACGGCCAGCCCGCCACTGCACTGCCGGCACTGCCAGTGTGGGAACGCGGTCATTATCTGCGGCGCGGCTCGCCAGTCTGTCGTGCACCACAACATTTACCACTTAAAAATGAAAAAGGAAAAATCGAGCCCTTGACGGTGTTCGAACCCACGTCAAGAAGAAGGAAGGAGGTTGCTAGCGCACAGTGGGCCAGATGACCGGCGGAGGCGGCCGAATCCCGGACGCGTTTCGAGCTCCAGAGTCGCTAAATGGGACTCGAACCGATCGTGTGACCCCACCAATGGAGTCCTCGTTCGGAGAGCAATCCATTGGTGGGGTCACACGTTCGGTTCGAGTCCCGTTTAGCGACTCTGGAGCTCAAAACGCGTCCGGGGTTTGGCCGGCTGCGCCGGTCTTCCGCCCCACTGTGCGGTGACGTCACGCCGCGCGCCACGTGCCGCGGGGGCTCGTCAACAGGCCGCGCAGCCGCGCGAACTGAACTGCGACGCGAAAACAGCAAACAGCGCGCAGCCAAGCCAACGCCTCCAACTGTCAAGGACGTCAAGGACGGCTCGTCGCATCGACAGTTCCGCTAGCTGCCCCCCCCTCCCCCTCCCCCCCCTCCCCCCTCCCCCTCCCAGCGCCCGGACAGTCGGTGCAGGAACAAACATGCCCCCTCCGCAAGCAGTGCAGCTGCAGTGCAGCACCGCGGTGACGTCACCGGGGCCGAGACCCTGCTGACGCTCATCCACATGATTGACAGGCCTCGCCAAAAATTGCCGTCCAGTGCCCAAGCAAAAACATAACAAAAAACACAACAAAAAGGTAACGAAAATACATAAGAAATTTCGGGACAAAGGATTAAATCGGTATAGTCGTGTAACTATTTTTAATACGTAGTTTTAAATTTCAGCAATTTTTGTTGTCACTGTATTTTTTTATTTCTTTTAGAAAAAAATTTTTAGTTACGAATGTGGATTTGAAAAACAGCGGCAATCGAGCAAGTTGCAGTAGACTCGGTGGCCCGTTCACAGTTTAGAAAGAAAGAGAGAAAGAAAGAAAGCTCTCGACGAACGCCCAGGAATGCAGGCGAGCTGCTCTTGTCGCCGTCTCCCTCGCACTTGCACGAGGCAGCCAGGCAGCGCAGTGAGTGCGAGAGAGACAGCGCGACCTGCGCAGCTTTCCCGCCAGAATGCAGCCGCTGCAACAAGTCCTGCGGGACGAGGAGGGGGAGGGGGGGGGGGAGAATTGAGGTTATGTTGCCCTTCCCGGGACCGGCGTACTACAGGCCGTTTTACAAGGTTTTGAGGATTTCAGAGAACACCCTGGCGGACGAAACTCGAGCTGAGTGCGCCCCGGGCAGGATTCGAACCCCAGACAGCGGTGACACAGCGATTCGGAGGCAAGTCGGAGACGTATTGACAGCGAGCGAGAGAGCGTCAGTGACCCGAATGCTCGGAAAGTGAAACCAAGAGCGCTGCTCTTACCCAAGGGCAGGTCGCAGAGGAGCGCGCAGGCGGCGATGGCGCCGGCCGACGCGCCCGAAATCTTGTTGAGCAGCAAGTGGGGGGCGTACTTCTTGAAGCAGACGGCCACCCCGACATGGTAGATGCCGAGGAAGCCGCACCCGGCGAAGGACAAGTTCATTTCTCGCTTCTCCCGGCCCTGCCGGACCAGACGTGGGACTAGATCGGCACGGACACGACTATCGCGACGAGTCGCCAACGAGTACGACAACGACGACGCGTTGCTGGCGCACTGGCGGACGGGGACACTGTGCTGCTCGCACGGCGGCTGCTTATCGACTGAACAGGCCGCGGCCGCGGAGGAGCTTATTTAAAGTGACAGTGTGGGAGACGAGACGGCAGCAGAAGACACGAGATAAACAAACTTCTGGACGAAGACGCGACTTGCTACCGCACACCAAGCGTCCCGCACGTCCTGACCTCAACTGACTGACAACTCTGTCTGACTGCCCGCCCGCCCGGCGCCCGGCTGGCCGCTAGCCGCGCAGCGCGCAGCAGCGGTCTGCTTCTGCTGCTACAGTGTAGTGAGGCGAGCCAGCGCCATCTAGCGGCCGACGCCTCAACCGCCTCGCGCCTCGCGCCTCGCGCCTCGGACTATGAGAAAGCAATGTGCCCGCAGTGCGCCTCTTAGAGTCCTAAAGGCGCCTCTCTGCGTCCAACCAGGGAAGCCCACAGGGTGACGGAGTGGCCTCTGTGACCCTGCACTGCAGGTGCGAGGGGCGCGCAGTGGGCCAGAAGACCGGCGGAGGCGGCCGAAGACGCGTTTTGAGCTCCAGAGGGGAGTTGTTCATTTCTCCTACCTAAATGTTCGCCTACCTGTCTATTTCGCCTACCTATATTTCGCCTACCTAATAAAAATATTGAATAAAAATATTCAATAAAATATTGCCATTTTTCGCCTACCTATAGTTCGCCTACCTAATAAAAAAAATTAAATAAAAGTATTCAACAAAAAAACGAAAAAATCGGCGGCAAAAAGTGGCAATACGAAAGTCTCAAGGAGACCCGCCGATCAGCTTCGGTGTTCTTATGGGAACCGGGCCTTCATCCGACGCTCCCTGCCGCGCAATTCGACAGATTAGTGGGTTCGTATTGGGCTGGCCCACCCGAAGTGCGCGCGGTTTCTGTGGTACAGTGAGAGTCCAGATTCAGAGGCCTTACCTCAGAGGGGTCACATTGGGTATTTGAACCCGCGACCCCGAGTGCCGAGTCTAGTCAACTCCTCTACCCTGACCGCTCAGCCACCGAACCAGCTTGTCGGCGGCGATGTCGCAACTCCTCTTGAGCTGCCGTTCGAGAAATCTGGTCCCGAAAAAATGGTAATTTGAGCGGTCTCGAACCCGGGACCTGCTGCTTCCCACATCATGCTCTTAACCACTGAGCCACCGGGACGCCATGGCACCCGCCCTGCCTGCGCTGGTACTCAATCTTCTCTGGATATACCTCCCCAAGCAATTGGTCGCCGAAAAAATTGTGTATACTACCGGTCCCGAACCCGGGACCTGCTGCTTCCCACATCATGCTCTTAACCACTGAGCCACCGGGACGCCATGGCACCCGCCCTGCCTGCGCTGGTACTCAATCTTCTCTGGATATACCTCCCCAAGCAATTGGTCGCCGAAAAAATTGTGTATACTACCGGTCCCGAACCCGGACCTGCTGCTTCCCACATCATGCTCTTAACCACTGAGCCACCGGGGCACCATGGCACCCGCCCTGCCTGCGCTGGTACTCAATCTTCTCTGGATATACCTCCCCGAGCAATTGGTCGCCGAAAAAATTGTGTATACTACCGGTCCCGAACCCGGGACCTGCCGCTTCCCACATCATGCTCTTAACCGCTGAGCCACCGGGACGCCATGGCACACGCCTTGCCAGCGCTGGTACTCAATCCTCTCCGAATAAACCTCGTCAAGAAGTCGGTTGCCTCTGCCGAAAAATATGGTCATGGTCCTAGTCTCGAACCCGAGACCTGCCAGTCAGGAGCGCAGCACTCTAACCACTGCGCTACTTGGTTGCTACGCACAGCGCTCACCCCATCGCCGAAGTTATTATTTGTCCAGCATCAAGCAAGATGGGTGGCTATTGAAGTTTGGCGCTAGGTTAGTGGCGTGCATAGCAACCTGGTAGCGCCGTGGATAGAGTGCTGCGTTCCTGACTGGCAGGTCTCGGGTTCGAGGCTAGTGCCATGAGCATATTTTTCGGCAGAGGCAACCGACTTCTTGACGAGGTCTATCCAGAGAGGAATAAGTACCAGCGCTGGCAAGGCGGGTGCTATGGCGTCCCGGTGGCTCAGTGGTTAAGAGCACGATGTGGGAAGCGGCAGGTCCCGGGTTCGGGACCGGTAGTATACACAATTTTTTCGGCGACCAATTGCTTGGGGAGGTATATCCAGAGAAGATTGAGTACCAGCGCAGGCAGGGCGGGTGCCATGGCGTCCCGGTGGCTCAGCGCTTACGAGCACGTTGTGCGAAGCAGCAGGTCCCGGGTTCGGGACCGGTAGTATACACAATTTTTTCGGCGACCAATTGCTTGGGGAGGTATATCCAGAGAAGATTGAGTACCAGCGCAGGCAAGGCGGGTGCCATGGCGTCCCGGTGGCTCAGCGCTTACGAGCACGTTGTGGGAAGCAGCAGGTCCGGGTTCGGGACCGGTAGTATACACAATTTTTTCGGCGACCAATTGCTTGGGGAGGTATATCCAGAGAAGATTGAGTACCAGCGCAGGCAGGGCGGGTGCCATGGCGTCCCGGTGGCTCAGTGGTTAAGAGCATGATGTGGGAAGCAGCAGGTCCCGGGTTCGGGACCGGTAGTATACACAATTTTTTCGGCGACCAATTGCTTGGGGAGGTATATCCAGAGAAGATTGAGTACCAGCGCAGGCAGGGCGGGTGCCATGGCGTCCCGGTGGCTCAGTGGTTAAGAGCATGATGTGGGAAGCAGCAGGTCCCGGGTTCGAGACCGCTCAAATTACAATTTTTTCGGGACCAGATTTCTCGAACGGCAGCTCAAGAGGAGTTGCGACATCGCCGCCGACAAGCTGGTTCGGTGGCTGAGCGGTCAGGGTAGAGGAGTTGACTAGACTCGGCACTCGGGGTCGCGGGTTCAAATACCCAATGTGACCCCTCTGAGGTAAGGCCTCTGAATCTGGACTCTCACTGTACCACAGAAACCGCGCGCACTTCGGGTGGGCCAGCCCAATACGAACCCACTAATCTGTCGAATTGCGCGGCAGGGAGCGTCGGATGAAGGCCCGGTTCCCATAAGAACACCGAAGCTGATCGGCGGGTCTCCTTGAGACTTTCGTATTGCCACTTTTTGCCGCCGATTTTTTCGTTTTTTTGTTGAATACTTTTATTTAATTTTTTTTATTAGGTAGGCGAACTATAGGTAGGCGAAAAATGGCAATATTTTATTGAATATTTTTATTCAATATTTTTATTAGGTAGGCGAAATATAGGTAGGCTAAATAGACAGGTAGGCGAACATTTAGGTAGGAGAAATGATATAGACTCCTCCAGAGTCGCTAAATGGGACTCGCAACGAGCGTGTGACCCCACCAATGGATTGCTCTACGAACGAGGAATCCATTGATGGGGTCACACGTTCGGTTCGAGTCCCATTTAGCGACTCTGGAGCTCGAAACGCGTCCGGGATTCCGGTCTTCTGGCCCACTGTGCGGTGGTTCCATGGTCCCGACGCGTGCCGCGCGATTTTTCATAGCGCGGGCGGGAAGTTCAAACCGCTGCGCGTGCCGTCCGCTTCTTGGAAAGGCTAGAGTGTGCACCGTCGCAGTGCTTCGATAAAGACAAGCTCACCCCTTAGTGACACTGACCGGCCGCGACATTTACGCAATCCGCAATCCCACGTCGCTCCGTCTCTCTCGCACGCCCACGGCGCACCGCGCGAGTGCGAGAGAGACCGTTCGCAGTGTGGTGGCGCGCTGTGAGGCAAAGCATTGTATCGCCACTGATAGTGATGGGTTACGTCAATCCAGTAGTTGAATTCGGCAAGAGCCGCCACCCTGCCCCCGCCCCCCCCCGCCCCGCCCCGCCCCGCCCCGCCCCGCACTTGCCTATTGACGTAGGTTGGCTACATCACTGGCCTCCCTTCCCTCGCTCTATCGTCGGAAACGAAATTGATTTTATCGTGTGGCGGTAATGGTGTTTCGTTATCGCATGGCGTGTTTTAGATGACATAACAATTAACAACAAGGAAAAGCCACGTGTTATTCGACGGTCTTACTGCGTTACTTCGGGAAAAAGCAAAACAAAGATGAAAAATGAGGCGGTGCGGTTTTTTGGGTGGGGTGATACGAGTCGCGCCACTCCACTGCCATGACCGTCTCCGCGACGCTGACGAGGGGCGGAGTGCAGTGCTGCAGAATAGGCAAAGTTGCAAAAGACTATCGAAAATCGAAACAAGAAAACAACAACAAAGACCTGTCTGATTGTCTGTAGACTCGTTGATACGGAAGCCTCACGTGGCAACAAAGTGTGTTTCGCCTGGATACAGCGAATCTGTATCGGTATCTTGAGATAGAGGAGATTATACAAGTAGACTTATAAAAAGTATTTGATAGAAGCCCAAATGCGGCAGCAAATCTCAAACACTCGAGACCGCTCGAGGCCCAAGTGCGCTTCTGAGTATCACCTGACAATGATACATTAAAATTTATTTCAACGTCATGATTTTCAGTACGCAACTGGCGACGAAACTTGAGTGGGGGGTCACACGTTCGGTTCGAGTCCTGTTTAGCGACTCTGGAGCTGAAAACGCGTCTAGAGTTTTGGTCGCCTCGGCCGGTGTTCTGGCCCACTGTGCAGCCCCCCGGCCTTCCGATGTGGCACCACTGCGCTGACCCGGTTCTCTGACCTGCGGTAGGGGTGCAGGCCGCTGGGCGCGGGGCGCGGAGGGCTGTGCTCTCGACGGGGGGCTGCGATAGCAGATCCACCCGCGAGGAGGAGGTGTCGCTATCTCTTTCCTTTCATCACGCTGCTCTAGCTGGAGCGCGGTGGCGCGGTGCTGCGTACTGCGGGGCGCGTGGCCGGCCTCTCTCTCTCTCTGTCGCACTCGCGGGGCGCACCGCGGGGGTGCGAGAGAGACAGCGCGAGGGCCGATAGGCGGCTTACCTGGGTGCTGTCGGAGCGTCGCAGTCACCGCGTTCGGCTTGCTTCGCTTGGTTTAATCACCCAGAGCCCCCCCCCCCCCGAGGATGGCGAAACGAGGCGATATCTCCGACATGTGGCACGGCTAGAGGCAGGGCTCGCCTGGCACCGCGCCAGCGCTCTCATCTATGCTCCATTTCCCGTCATCCAGTGATGCCCCAACCCGTCCCCCGATACACTGGCAGCGCAGCGCACAGTGGGCCAGAAGACCGGCGGAGGCGGCCAAAACTCTAGACGCGTTTTGGGCTCGACAGTCGCTGAATGGGACTCGAACCCAACGACTGCCCCCACCGATGGATTGC